CTGGCCGAAATAGATTCAAATAGAAGATGTGCTTATGAACAGGCAACGCTTGTACCAGCAAATTTTAAAAGGCATTTTATGTCAGCCCATCCGGATGTGGCTCGTCGGTTGGGTTTTGTCGAGAGCAACCGTAGAGTACGGTCAGCAGGTAGTGTGAGTGAAAACGAGCAGCAGATTCCCACGAACAGGGCAAAGTGTACGAAAGTTTCAGTGGAAACCGACCGGAAAAAAGTTCTACTTGGTACGCTTCAATTGGTGACGGTAAACAATTTGCCCCTTAGATTTCCTGATTGGAAATCTATTAAAATTTTGAATGAACCGTTATGGAAGGCAGTGAATTTGAAAATTACACGTAATACTTTGCCAAATATCGTTGGCCGGGCAGCAGAGATAATGCGAAATGTGTTAATTGAATTGTTCCGTAAAAAGCCGGTGTGCTTAAAGGTCGATTCAGCTACACGGCATGGTAAGGCAGTGTTTGCCATAAACCTGACTTTACCCGATGAGGAAGGAAACATCCAAATATATCATCTTGGTAAGTAAATGATGATTAATTTGTACAACTGAATACAACTGATAATACGTATGCAATGAGTGGTGAATGGAGCATGAGTGGTGAATGGTGACGTTACGGTAATATGTTTGGCTAAAAATCAACTGGCTCACAAATTAGTTTGAACGCTCTTCAACTTCCAATTCAATCCGATTAATGGTATATTCATATATGAACAGGGGAACGGGGACGGGCGCTTTTTCTCTCTCTTATCAACGCAAATCCCGTTCCGTTCCCGTTTTCCCGTTCATATGTGAATTGACCTTAAAACTGTTGATATGTTCCAGGTGCCTTTCTGATTGACACAAGAAGATTAATTGCAGCTATTTAACATTACAGGGATCGCGCCATATACACGGTGGTTGGTATAATTTAACAAATTGCTCGGTTTCATATAAAGGCATCCCCCGAAGAGTGTTGCCGTTTTTTCTCAGCTGCCTTCTAACCAACCAAGCTGATTTTTTGTTTGAGTTCAGAGTCGATCATTAAAAGTCATCTACAAAAAATCAGTGCGAATGGTTTGAGGACTGTCGAGAAAAAGCGCTCTTCTGGGGATTCCTGTATTAAATAGCGTCATATCAAAGCAAGCGCGCCTTTCGATACTGGCAGCCACCAAAGCTTTTTTTTTGATCCTATACTTACACGTTCATGAAGAATAAACAGCACATATTCTTCATGAAGAATGTAAAATTAGGTGATTCGCTACCGAACAGCATCGTTCCCGAAGAATGCTTCTCTGAATCACGCAACTACAAACTTGAGAGTGAGTGACGCTTGGGTAAATGTATATCAGTGGTAACTCAGCGAATGACGAGGATGATGGAAGAGACGGAATGATCCGAATGACTCCATTCGCATAACCGATCCGGCTAGACGGTTGAATCGTATTTCCACTGCTGCTACTACTCAGTTGCGAAGAACAAACGTAGCGAGTGAAGCTTCTTTGCGATGATCAGCAACCTTGCTGTTGACCAACGAAAAAGTTTTGATCTCCTGAACAAATTTGCCGATGACAGTTTAGCAGGTCTTGAAATATATCTAATGCGAGAATTGCACGTGTATATAAGCGCAATGATGTGAAAAAAAAATCTGTCGACCATCCAAAAGGCCTTGGCTCCCTGAACAACTTTGCCCAAGACAGTAACATTCTATTTGGTCAGAATCTCGTGATAATTTACATGTGAAAATTTCACGTGTATACTAGCGCCGCTTAGGATATTCTCAACTATTGTACACCAAGCAATAGGCTTTAACCTCCTGAACAACTTTGTCGAAGACAGTAACTTTCTATCTGATCAGGATCTCGAAACAAACCACATGCGAGAATTTCACGTGTATTCTAGAGTTACGTAGTGAGAAAATTGTGAACTACTGTCCACTAGCAAAATCTATCTTATCAGAATCTCGGGATATTTTACATACGAGAATTTTGCGTGTATACTAATGCCACATAGTGTGAAAATTCTGAACTATTGTGCACCAAGCAATAGACATTGACCTCATGAACAACTTTTTCGAAGACAATAATTTTCTACCTGTTTAGAATCTCGAGCTACTGTCCACCAGCCAAAAATTCTTGACCCCCTGAACAAGTTTGCCGAAAACAGTAACTTTTTATCTGTTAAAGATCTCGAGCTATTGCATATGCGAGAATTGCATGTGTATACTAGCACCGAGTAGTGAGAAAATTCTGAACAACTTTCCACCAACGAAAAGATCTTGACTTCCTGAACAACTTTGCCAAAGCCATTTACTCTCTATTTGGTCAGAATCTAGTGATGTATCACATGCGAGAACTTAACATGTATACGAGCACTACCTAGTGAGAAGATTCTGAACTACTGTTCACCAGCAAAAAAGCTATGATCTCCTGAACAGCTTTGCCTAAGACAGTAACTTGCTATCTGGTCAGGATCTCGAGATTTTCCATGTTGTAACCAATTAAGTCAAATCCCACGTAGTACGGACACCGTTTACGCGGTTTCCATTCACATTTTCTCTATTATCCGCATTTTTTGGGGGTTAACTGAAATAAAAGTTTAGCTTGTTTGGTTAAAAACAAACAACACACCCTTGGCAATTTGTAATAAAGCACGCCAAATAACGGGTTCATTTCTCCGGATCATATCGGAAATATCTTTTCATGATTTGTCAACTTTATTGCCCACGATAGTAGAGACCACGCATATAAAAGTAATTCATACTGAAAAGAAGAACACGCGGATTCATGAGTATTTGATGCAAGAATACAAAAAAATAAAATTCGGATAGGATTACCCTGACACTCTGACAGGTAATGTATGTTTATACTGATTTAATTTTTAATTTCTTGACGAATGTGAGACTACTTTGATTACCTTTGAGTAAATATGAGTTACTCAAATTTGCTCGCTATGAAAATATTAACTCTGAGTACAGCCGTCTCGCCTCTAGGTCTGACCCTTATAGACTCGAAAACTAGTGAACCGATCGGCGTGAAAATTTGTATGTAGAGATTTTTGGGGCCAGAAAAGGTTCTTATGATGGTTCAAGACCCCTCCCTCATCCTGTAAGGGGGGGCTCCCATACAAATGGAACAGAAATTTCTGCATAACTCGAGAACTAATCATGCAAATGGAACCAAATTTGGCATGTGAATATATAAGGAGATGGCCATAGAGGGTAGCCCCTTAGATTAGAGGGGGGGGGGGGGGCTACGTACAATATAGAATGCTTTTTTTAAACGGCGCATTAGCTCAAGCTAATATTGAATCCCGAGCAAGGCCGGGCACACTCAGCTTGTAGATAAATAAAGATAAAAAGAACGATCTCACCAAGTATGTATCAAGCTGCCAAGCAATGTTCCAGCGCAGTAGTCCAAATAGTTTGCTTGATGAGGATCAACATCCGGTATGGCTGCCTGGTAAAACTTGAATGAAGTGTCCTAAATCGAGTGCTCTCTTGATAGGTTCATCACTCCAACTTGCTCCTCAGTGTGATCAAGACATCGTAGTCCAATGGAGGATTTACTTCGTTTTGTAAACTGCTTGAGCAGTGAATAGCAGGGACGTAGTTCTAATATTTTTTGAGAATCTTGCAGGATGGTTGCGATATAGGAGAACTCGGCAACACTCCCTTCACCCTTTCTTCTCTATCCAACGCTGACCGATTGTACAACACTCCTCCCCTCCAACAGAATAACTTCACTTCTTCTTCCAAACAAGCAACAAACGACTACATCTATACACCAAAAATAGTTTATTGTCCAATGCGTCCATTCCGGATTCACTACCATTAATGCCTTGTATATCGAATAATCACACTCGTGGAAAAATAGAAAAAAAATCGTGACAGCTCTTAAAAAGCCAACCGACCTCAGCCGGGCCTACTCCGAATCTCGAACCAAATCCAACTCTTATTTCTATGTTTAGTAGGAGTTGGGCCGAATACTCGCGGCTTACCCGAGGTTACAGGGGTACATTGTCGAAGAATAGGATCAGAGGAGAAGCTTGGGGGTGGGGTTTCGTTGTAGTGCAAATATTTTCAGTGATCTTCGTAAAATTAAGAGAGATAGAAAAATATGGAATTTGGAATAAATTTAAAAAAACACTTAAGGGAGTTTTGTAGAAATTTTGAAAAACTTAAAGGAGTTTTGCAGATGTTTAGGAAACATTGCATAAGTTACAAAATATTCCTCAGATATCCTTCCTAGACAGCAGGAAATATTCAAAAGATCTCCATATAGACGAAGATATTTTTAAAGTTCTCTTGATATTTTTCCAAGACTTCTGGTTGATCGAGTTCTGTGGATCTCTTACTATTTAAAAATTCAAATATTCTTTCAAGACTGTAGGTTATTCAGGAAGTATTCAAATGTTTTCCAACTAATTGAATATGATGGAATCTTGAATGATGAACCTAGATTTTTAGAATTTTTTAAATCTTAATCTTACTTTCTAGTGAGTATTCTCACTTTTTAAATGAAGGTTTTTGAAAAAAAGATTTGGCAATAAGTAATGCAGTGGAAACAAATTTACTTATCTACGGATGGTACTCCATGAAAATCTAATAACATTGCATCTGACTGATAAAAGAACGGTGAGTAGCTCAATATTGAGAAAAAGTTTAACTGCCTTGCAACGCCACCGGTCGGGATGTAGAAAGTTTCAACCTGATTGCCACCGAGATGGGTTATTCTTTCGTTCCCGGTTCCAGTTCATTTTACCGATCCCCCTCAGGTACTGGGGAGGGAGCATCCACAGGAGAAGCAGAAGTACTTCTTTATTAATCACCCGCGCAAAACTGCAAATGAGCTCCTGCAGCGGTTTCCCTCACACCCCGCTCTCTATCCGTCCATCATCAGAGTATGTGGGTAAGTGGATCCCGTGTGAAAAGACCATCCTCCATTGACGGGAACTAGGTCCCCATGTAGAGCATGGTAAGTGTCTGTCTATATAGAGAATCTTACCGTCATACTGTTCAGCAGGAACGTGATGGTGGCACCCGGCTTCGAGGGCGGTGTCGAACAGTTGGCCCGCAGGATGTCCCCCGGGTCGTACTTGGTGTGCTCTGTCCACAGGGTTGGTGGAGAGTGCGGCAGTTCTGTGGGGAAAAAGAGCGAGAGATCAGAAGGAAAAGTGATTAGAATAGATACTGTTTTAATTGAGTTTTTTTTTTCCTACGATGAGGACTTAAAGGTGAATACCGATAGGTATTTAGTTCAAGTGCTGATAGTTTACTGAACGGATAAAAACGATTCAATCGTTGTTTTTAAATGAGCTCATTCTTCTTTATCGCTTGGCGAATTAAGACCACGTATATCTATTTTTATATTTCTTTGATTGGACCAATGGTAATGTGAAGCATCTGGCATATGTTGTTCATTTTTCTTATTCATAAATCTAACAATGATCGCCAGATTCGACTGAAACTTTTCCGCTAGAATACAAGCTGAAATCAAGGGACATGCCTATCAGGCAGGCTCAAAAATAGCGTACATATATGTATGTACCTCCTTTTGATGTCAACAACTGCTCTCCGTTGCCCGTGGCAACGGTATCATAGCAAACACCCACGCGCGCATTCGCCGTCCGTTCTTGCGAATGCAAACAAAACAAGAAAAAAATAAACCTAGCAATCGGCTTCCCTCTTCGATGTATCGATAACCTCGATTACACAGAGCCGCAGTATCGAATCGAATCGTATCGTACTCACACGAAAATTATCCTCGCACCATCCTGACGTGGCCAAAAGTTTCCCGATTTCTATCCGCTGGAAAACAAAAAAAAATCAAGAATATCCCTGATGGTCCTGCTGTCGGAAATCTACTGCCCGGAGCAGATTGTGATACCGGAAAACTTTAACAACGTGCTCAAACTTTATGCCAAAGGTAAGGGCGCCGAGGACGACGTGTGACGTGGGAAAGCTGGATTTTTGTTCTCCCAACTTCTTACCTTTCAACAAATTTTCTCAACCTCTCTGTTTTCATTCCACCTTCTCCGCCTTCTCCGGGCAGCTGTCATCCGTACACAGCCGTTTGATTTATTGCGCTGGTCCGCCGCGTACTTCCGGTGTTTGGCCCTGGAGCGGATGCCCCCGGTGAAGCCACGCTACGAGCCGGAGCTGCGGCGCGGTCGTCTGTCGGCCGGGGCCCTGCGGGTGCTAATCGATCAGGTAATTATTTACGTTACGTTAAAGGTGGAAGAGGTGCCGTTGGAGGAATGATCCCCACGTGCCCTTCGTTTGCGCTTGCTTATATTTGGCTCGGTGTCACAACCAAGTGTCTCAGCAGAAGCAATCGCTCCCCGGTGGGGGGGAGGGGGGGCAGGGGATGAGGGCTTTGTTTTTATCCTTCTCGCAGAATGACAGTGGGTGGTAGGTGGAAATAATGTGGTCGAATATAGATTTTGTTGGTTCGAACATTTTACTTCAACAATTATTAGCTGATGAGGTTACAGGAGCTGTTCGCGATCTTTGATGCCTTTTCTGAGCAATGGGGTGGTGGATGTAGACGGACAAACGATTCACCCAACAATGATTATGCTTCTGAGCTAATGCCACAGTGGGAAAAATATGGCAATACAGTCAACTCTCCATAATTCGACATTGAAGGGACCATCGAGTTATAGAATTATCGACTTATAGAAGCACAAATATTTTTTTTTGTTCGTGCATGATTTTAAGAATAATCCTTCTACTGTAATATCTAGTATCTTATTCATCCATGTAAATTTGAAAAGTTCAAGAATCCATTTCCGGAAGTTCTGTCAGAAGTGACATCCGTAATAAGCCCCAGCATAATGTAAAGATAAAATTTACTCGCTACGCTTTTTCCAAATTAGAAACATTGGTTCCATATTGTAGCTTAAGGTATTTCTATTGATTTCGTATATAGTTTTTATAAAGTATGTGTTACATATTTTGCAAACATTAAAAAAAAACAATTTTCGTGTTTTTCGCCTGTTTGAAAAAGTAGTACTCAAACCATCACTTATGAAATTTATTTCCGATATAGCCATCACAAATTCAATGTTGTATTCTTATTGCTTATGATGTTTTTTTTCTGATTATATACTCATTTAAAGTTTCATATTTAAAGAACCAAATTGTTTATGTTTCATTCATTATTTTTCTACATTCATCGAGCATTATCAAAGTCAACCCAAATAAAAAAAATATAGTTCGGTCACATATTACTAACAAATTGACTCTTGGATCCTCAGTTCTTGTTTTAAAAATATAAAATTTGAAAAAACATTCATTGCTGTAAAAATTATTTAAAATATACTTTAAAAAAACATTCAATGTTACCCCGTTTTACGGTAGATGTTGGCTCCATATTTTAAGAAAGTTCTAACAAATTGATAATTTCAGCAAGCGTGTACCCAACAGCTAAATTTTGGGCATATACACATGGCTAATTTCTATTCGATGAAATTTATCCCCGAAATTCAGCTGCAGGTTTTAAAATAGAGGGGCACAATCTAAAATAATATTTCAAAAGATGATAAATCTGCTACGAAAAGTCATTTCATAGTCTCTGAGTCTTGAATAAAAATTATTCAAGTCTAAAATTGTAAATGTGTACAAATTTCTTAGACTAAGTCTTCGACATTTGATTTATTTTAAATTATTTTTTTAATTTCTTTTTTTTTTGTTAATTTATTTATTTGTAGAGGCTCAATTGAATAAACTTTACAGAGCCAAATTATCTAGTAATGACTTCTATAGACCAGCATTTTGAATATTTCTGTTAATCATCCATCGTTCATATATTCATATAAGATCCCAAGTTTTTCAAGTGAAAACTAATCTGAGGTTCTAGTTCTAGTTTTATCCAAGTTAGATTTATCTTGGTACCTTTTACAACATTTCTATGGGATTTAGCCAAGAATTTATTTAAAATAATCCAAAAAATCCATTTGGGAACTCCGGCTCTCAATGATAATACTTACATAATTTTTTTCAAAACAATCTATCTAAAATAAAACTCTTGACATTTGCTCTGCAATTCACTAGAATTTTTTGCAAATGACCTTAAAATTCTCACCTGTATTCTTCTGATTCAGCATTTTCTTGGTTTTGCTACAAAACATCGATGGCAATATTCCTTAAATTAAAGTTTCCATGAGATTCTTAAAGGAAGAGCATTCGAAAACTCTATGGAATTCCAATCAGGCTCTCATAAGAATGTCCTTGGAAATCTCCTATGAATTTATTTGGAATATAATTTAAATTTAATTGGAATTTTTTCTCAGAACTTTCATCAAGTTTTCCTCATAATTCTCATGAAATTATAGCCAGAACCCTTGGAATTCTCTTCAGAATTCTTTTAAAATTATCATTTAAATTCATCATGCTGTCCGAAGAAGTCATCTCCACTCTACTCGATCCATGGCCACAATTCGCCAGACTCTTATAGCGAATTCATATATTTATTATCGAAGTGCGAAACCGAACTTTTTGTCAGTGCGAACATCAACCTGAGCTGGGTTTTAAAAACAAACGAGCAAACTGACGTTTGTCTGAAAACAAGCAGACCCAATCTTGATACCCGATCCAGGTTGGAACTGAATAATAAACGAATTCGCTAGTAGTCTGCGAAGGGTCGCCTTCCACTCTGTAGAACTATTTTCACTGGGTCGTCGTGCGGCATTCTTACGACGTGCCCAGCCCATCGTGTTCGCCTATTTTTTGCAATGTGGACCATGCATGGTTCTCCCAGCAGCTTGTGCAATTCGTGGTTCATTCGCCTCCTCCACGTTCCGTCATCCATCTGCACTCCACCGTAGATGGTACGCAACACCTTCCGTTCGAAAACACCAAGGCCGCGTTGGTCCTCCACGAGCATAGTCCAGGTCTCGTGGCCGTAGAGCACCACCGGTCTAATCAGCGTCTTGCAGACAGTCAACTTCGTGCGGCGGCGAATTTTATTCGACCGGAGCGTCCTCCGGAGTCCAAAGTAGGCACGATTCCCTGCCATAATGCGCCTTTGAATTTCTCTGCTGGTATCGTTTTCAGCGGTCACCAGTGAGCCCAAATACACGTACTCATCGACCACCTCGATTTCGTCACCGTCAATCTGAACTCGAGGTGGGAGGCTTACATTGTCTTCCCTAGAACCTCTTCCTTTCATGTATGTTGTCTTTGATGCGTTGATGGCAAGTCCAACCCGTCTAGCTTCAGCATTCAGTCTGATGTACGTTTCCGCCATCATCTCAAAGTTCCGTGCCATAATGTCAATGTAATCGGCGAAGCCAAGAAGCTGGATGGACTTCCTGAATATCGTGCCACTCGTGTCTATACCAGCTCTTCTGATCACACCTTCTAACGCGATGTTGAATAGCAGACACGAAAGTCCATCACCTTGCCGTAACCCCCTTCGAGATTCAAAGGGACTCGAGAGTGTCCCCGATACTCGAACAACGCACATCACTCGATCCATCGTCGCCTTGACCAATCGCGTCAGTTTATCCGGAAATCCGTACTCGTGCATAATCTGCCATAGCTGATCTCGATCGATTGTGTCGTATGCGGATTTGAAATCGATGAACAAATGATGTGTGGGCACGTTGTATTCGCGGCATTTCTGCAGAACCTGCCGAATCGCGAAAATTTGGTCCGTGGTAGCGCGGGCACCCATGAATCCCGCCTGGTATTGCCCCACGAACTCTCTTGCATATGGTGACAGACGGTGGCATAGAATTTGGAAGAGTACCTTGAAGGCGGTGCTCAGCAGTGTGATCGCGCGGTAGTTGCAGCAATCCAATGTGTCGCCCTTTTTGTAGATTGGGCATACGACACCTTCCATCCACTCCTCCAGTAATATCTCCTCCTCCCAAATCATGGCAATTACCCAGTGCAGCCAGTGCTTCACCACCGTATTTTAATAGCTCACTTGGTAGTTGAGCTACACTAGTTGCTTTGTTATTCTTCAGCCGACCGATCTCCTCCTCAACTTATTGAAGATCAGGGGCCGATAGCCTGTCGTCTTCTGCGCGTGCTCCAAGGTCTGTTGCCGTGCCACCTTCGTTTTCTGCTGCTTCACCGTTGAGGTGCTCGTCATAGTACTGCTTCCACCTCTCAATCACCTCACACTCGTTCGTGAGAATGTTACCATCCATGTCCTTGCACATATCGGCTTGCGGCACGTAGCCTTTGCGCGAACTATTTAGCTTCTCGTAGAGCTTCCGTGTGTCGTTTACGCGGTACAGATTTTTAATCGCATTGTGATCTCGGTCTTCCTGCTGACGTTTCTTCCTTCGGAAAATCGAAGGTTTGTCTGTTCCGCGCTTGTCTGTATCGCTCCACATTCAATCTCGTGCGGTGTTTCATTCTTCTCCTCTACTAACAGTTTGCATTCGCCGTCAGACCAGTCATTTCTTCGGTCCGGGATTGCAGTACCTAGTGCCGCTGCAGCAGTACTACCTATGGCGAAACGGATGTCCTTCCAGCCAGCTCCAAGAGTACACAGCAAAAAAATAATTTTGATATCACATCAAAGTGGATGCACTACAATGTCAGTTCATGCATTGTATTAATGATAATTTTGTCCTTTTTAGCAAGTAATATTACACCATATTTTCGACATGATTGTAGTGCATCCACTTTGACGTGATATCAAAATTTTTTTTTTGCTGTGTAGCTGCGCCAAGCTGCTCTTCCGTGGGTAGTGCAGCTTCCAGCTGCTGCGGGTAGTCCTGGGCAACTCCGGTGTCCCGTAATTGCTCAATGTTAGGTCGCGGGGTTCGACTTCGACAGGTGTTATGTACCGTCGAGAGATTTGAGAGCATGCATACTGCAACTAGGTAGTGGTCCGAATCTATTTTCGCACTACGGTACGTGCGGACGTTGATAATGCCGGAGAAGAATTACCCGTCGATTAGAACGTGATCGATTTGGTTTTCTGTCTGTTGGTCAGGTGATCTCCAGGTGGCTTTGTAGATATCCTTGCGGGGGAAAAAGATACTTCGGGTTTTTAGATGTAAACTTAATCAATCAAACCATTTCTAAACGGCAAAACCCATGTTCACATACTAAAAAAAATACCCATATTCACGTATTTTAATTGGTTTTACTGAAAATGTTACTGCTGAACCTTAAGAATTTTAATCAAACAATGCTTATTTTCAATACAAGGTGCGTGAAAGAGCTTGGCACGATCGGTGTTGATGTTGGTTCACTTGTAACTATTTTTGCAAAAAAAAAAAATTAAGTTTTTTCGAAAGAAATTGATATCGAAAGTGTACCAAAAGTGCTTCTGAACGTGTTTCGCAGTTAGATGGTGAAATTCGCGGTTGTTTTCAGTGAAAATTCAGTATAACAAATTTTCTCACCGTGTTCCCTTTTTTTGCCGTTTGACAACATCGGGAATGCGCTCCCGGATATATTGATTTGGTGAGTACGTTCCAGTTGAGGATTGTTCTTGTACATTCCTCGATTGCATTTTCGAGGGGACGTGTCTGCTTTTGTGGGCAGTGCGTTTGATGGTCGATTTGGTAGTATCCTTTTAAATATAATATCTCATGTCCAAATAACCTCGATTTTCGGTCTATTGATTCAATACTTCAGTATTATATTTTCAAAACATACACACTTAGATTTTTTCGCCGAGATGGGCGCCACCGAGCAGCTCGGCATTTTGTTTTGCTGGATCTCAGTTAAAAACTTGCTGAGATTCAGCTAACAAACGGGAATTTTGCCGAGATCTCAGCTAACAAACATATTTTTTGCTGAATTTCCAGCGAAATAGGATGCCGAGCTGTTCGGTGGTGCCCATCTAGGCGAGGGGGTCTAATACCCCGTTCACATTACAGCCTATATCACGTAATATAGGCTGTCTTGCAATGAACAATGTAATGTGAACGGGGTATAAGTGTGTACAATTATGCATTATGTCATTTCATGGCACATAAAACAAAAAGTGTGTGTATAGGACCCAATAATCTAGGTTATTTGTATTTTGTAAAACATCTTTATTTTTTATTATATTTTTCATTCTACTACATATTTTATATACATTATATATCACATGATTATATATAAATTCATAATGTAAATTACAATAAATACTGGGAGGGAGCATCAGGGCATCATTGAAGTTGTAACTGGACAATGGAGTGGAGTGCCAACCGGAGTCTAGGAGGGAATGTGTACTGTCATTTTAGATAGTTACATTTCACTCCAACAGTTGCAATGAATTTGACGCGCTCTTCTTTAACAAACCATCACGTGGAAAGCTTAACATGTATTGCGAATTTCGTTATTCATTTTGTTGGATCATATTGTTGGAAGGAGATTCTCTTATTCCCGCGGGTTTCGCGTAAGTGCCTCTGCTTATGGGCCCGTCCAACCTTTTTGGCCCTTCATACAGCAGTATGTTGAATTCAGAATGATGACGGAATTTGATCTTGCTGTTGAGTGGAGCCGCATGCAGGGCAAGACCCAAGCTAGGATGGTGGCTACTTACATACATACATACATACATACAATGCTTATTTTCAATACAATTATGATAAATTCTTCATGTTTTCTTTACAGCAACAGAAATAACTTTATTTGATAGGCTTCTAAATACGTTCTAATATTTTAATTTTTGTGTTATTAAAACTTTCTGAGGTCTCGTTAAGGTCCCTTTAAGGATGATGCCTTTTTTTCGATGTCTGTTCGTCTCCAGTTGGTGTTGGTTTGTTATTTCACAATGGATTTTTTTTATTTTACCAATTAAAATTGTGTTTTATTTAATAGGGGAGATGGATGAAATGTCGGCCTAAATGCACCTAATTTGGGCCCATAAATAAATGCTGCAATCGACTAAATTTTCAAAAGCGACCAAAAATATCTATTAGTACCATCCCAATGACGCGTTCATCTAGATACAATTGATAAATAGCAATTTTTTTAGCGATGGGCCCAATCTTAGATCCATTGGCCAACATTAGAGCCATTGCCCCATACATGTAGCCATTCATCAATGCCACAAACCACGGTAAAGAAGTATGCAAGAAGGCCCCTCGCTAAGAAATAATTTTAATTAGATGAAAATTTAATCACGGTTTGATTTGAGGTACACAGGGGTAAGTTGAAACGCGAGGGGAAGTTGAAACGGTATGTGTATCTCTTGCCGGAAGTGAATATTCACTGAGATTATGTCTAATGTAGTAGTTTGCGGTAGTACACAATGCCTCTCAAATATAATTACAGTGAATATAAACTTCCGCTAAGAGATTCACTTACCGTTTCAAATTTTCTGAACTTTTCAACTTGCCCCGGTGCACCTTACCTGCAAATTACATGTTTAATATTTTATATTTAATTTTTTATTCAACTACGAAAACCCCCCACCCCACTCAACATGATTAAATTATGAGCCTAATTACCCTTCAAATTGTTAAAAGAGTTCCAAGTGCAAAATTTGTCCACCGCTTTCATCCACTGTGCCACAGACGGATTTATTTGGCTCCCTCGGAAGCGGAGATTTCCTCCTGATTTGTTTTCACGGGTTCTTACGTGGACGCATTGCTTGCAGCAGAAGCAGCAGCAATGGGAGAAAAAGTTTTTGTTCACGCTGTATCGTTTATTTTTTTGGGTGCTGATTGGATGATCCCCCTGGTAGCAATTAGCGATGATTTATAGCAGATTAAAAGGCACCTTAGGCGTGGGTATTTATCATGAAAATCCGCTTTTAGTAGTTCCGTTTCCTTTCCGATAAAATTGAATCACTTTATTTTTTGTTCTTCAATCGTTTCCAGCTCGGCAAAGGCTATTTCGTACAAAAACGGACCCTTCAGGAAAAGTGGCAAGGATTGTGCCTGCCGGAAGTAAGTGTCTTTACGACTTTTATGTGCTTGTGTTCTTTGCTTTAGAGAAGACAACCGCAAGGAAAAGTTTATCCCCACTGCAGGCTGTTTGTCGCTGAATGTTCCATTTGCAGGACGATCTATTGAACATCCTGTCGCTGTTGCGGATGCTGGACTGGTCCCACTTGCACTGGCTTAAGATTGTGGCCATTTTCATTGGCCTGCTGAGTGACGTAAGTCAACCCCTCTCAACCTCCTTTCGGATGGCATTGTGCACTCTGTGTTCTTCTTATTCTTGTTTATGTCTCTCATTTTTCAGAGCCTGCCACGGACAGCCGAAATGATCTGCGAACTTCTGACGGAGGAACCGGAAGGTGGCCCGTCGCCCGTGCCGCTTTGGATGTTCAAGGAATGCTTCCTGGCGGTGGCCCGGCTCGATTGCGGTTCGGTGCAAACGTTCGTCGATGGGAGGAAAGTTTTGTGAGTACTAGTTTTTGCTCTTCTTCTTTTTGCACTGTTCATCTGGAAAACTTTGCGTTTGTCGTTTACCAGCAGTGTTGGGTTATGCCGGATGCCAAACAGAGGCGTGTGCGAGATTAGAACTATTCCGTAATCATTTACGTTTCCTTAGATCGTTCGTTGAAAGCGGAAGATGAGGAATGCGATTGCAACAGTTTCAACTTTCTTTCAAACATGTAAAACTCATATATGTCACCCTTATTTTAAAATTAAACCACATTTTCAGCCAAGTTCCAACCCATCCCCTTCAGTGCACGCCTATGCCTCCAGAAACTAACCCTGGGACAAGTTGAATAACGACAATTTTTCTGTTTCCTTTTTGTTCTTACCCCTCTTTCTGTCCGTGACCCTATTGCTCCTCCCCCACTCGCAGAGACGGCGGTCAACTGGAACGGAAGCAACCGATGACGGAGATGCCCAAAGTTTTATCAACAATTTCATTTAAAAACGCCATCATCGACAAGTACAAGAGCGTCCTGGTAAGTGCAGTCGATAATCGAGTTTATTGTTTGACATTGTTTGTCTTACTCGCCGCTTGCAGGGACTGGACGCAAAGTCCCCCACCACCATCGATGCCGAACTTCTGTCCACCGATGATCGATTTTCGGAAAGGTCAGACCTACCTTCCCGCTTGGATTCGGATTTTAAATTTGTAGGCGATGACACCGATCCGTACGAAGTTGTACGGCGCGCACCGGACTTCGAGAGTGTAATCATTCTTCTGGGTGAGCTTCAGGAAGACAAATTAAAGCAGCAGCTGAGTTCGATTAGCATCTCGGAGGAAAAGTTGGAGCGTGCCAAGGAGCGTACCCAGCGTTTGGAAGACTTGAAGGAAAGTCTCCCGGAATACGATTTCGAAAAGCTCATGGAAGCTGAACGGCAACAGCTTCTGAACGACATGGGCCCTCCGTGGCTCCTTCTATACCTGTTCTCGCGAACGGCCAGTCGGGATCGTTCGTACAATTATCTGGAGGAAACTTCCATCGAAGACGATGCCTCCGTTGCAGGTTATTCAAATGATAGCTACGAACTGCGCGAAGCAGATAAGCTGGAACGTAGTCCGGAACCGGACGACGATGATGACGACCACGACGGTGAAGACGAGTTAGAAGTGATGCATGACATCGGTCGCCGTCGTTCGAGTTACTCGATTCCCGCCTCGGTTCGTTCCCGAATGAGTTCCATTTATTCGTCCGCTACGCGGATCGCAAATGAAGTCCTCTCCCGAATCATCTGCATGGTCGATGAAGCGATCATCGATGGCGAGTGTGAACTGTCGGTCCCGTCGATTGCCAGCTTCGTCGAAAAGAAGAGCAACGAGGAATCCAGCATCAGTCAACATGATTTTCAAACGCTGCAGGACTTTTTGGAGGAAGCTGAAAAGAAAGATCTGGAGGTGAAGGATCTGAACGAGTTGTACCACTTTTTTGTGAGTGAAAGCTTCAAAGCGGCCGGAGAGGATCACGAGCCGAAGAAGGATCGTAGCAAGGAAATCACGTCGATATTCGAAGCGAGTGGCATCGAGGTCGATAATAACCTGTTGGATGCTCAGGTATCCGAGAACATGATTCTGGGATTGGTACACAAGGAAGCGGAACAGGAGAATGAACAGGCTCCACCAAGCCCAACCGTTGAAGAACACGCGGGAGATGAAGAGGGCAGGATGGGCGTTGGTTTGGAATTACAAGCCGTAGTGGAGGTTGTTGAGGATGAAGTTGCGGATGAATCGGAACCACATGGTGTTGGACCGGCAGTTGCAACACAAACTGACCCTTTGAGCATTAAATGTACCGATCTGACGCGTCGTCGGTCCTTGACCCGAAGTGCGGACGTCACGGTGGAGTATAGTTGCAAGATGCCGCCCCTTTCGGGGATAGGTCCTCCACTGGAAGAGGAAACCGTTGAAGCATTTCTCGCTTATTTGACCAAGAGAGCGGTTCAGCAGCAGGGATTGATCTATCCGAGAAATTTTCGTGAACCCCCATGTCCCAAAATTGGTTGAGCGTTGTGTGATGGATTGCTTATTCATATATGAGTTATTTTTAGTGGAACATGCAATAATAATATATTAATAAATAATTGGTGTTTGTAGAAAAACTCGTCCCATTGGTCACTTTTTTCACATGGGAGACCAGTAGTTGAAGTATCACATATACTGCTCTTTTATGTTTTTCCACGTCGTAGCACTGACATCAGCTGTGATACAGGCGGATTTTGCCGCAATTCACTCACATGTAGGCGAAGCTAGTAACAATCTTAAATACTTTACTCAGGAAAATGACAAAACGTGCTCTTTTAAATTACGTGACATGTTTGCATTGTTATTTTGTTAATTACTTTTTCTTCGTACAGGCTCAATAGAATAAACTTTACAGCGCCAAGACATCATATCATATCATATCATATCATATCATATAATGTCTTAAATCTAAAGTTAAAGGAATTGAACCGAGTACCCCAAGTAACCACCAAGCCCGGTAACTACCCGATAATCGCCCTTTTTGCGATATAAGGTAGATATAGGGTTTCCGAACTTTATATCAGTCGTATATTTCATTATTTCTAAAACATGAACTTATTCCTTTTCAACTTGATATCAGCAGCAAGGTTGTGTATATTCGCAGCGAATCATATATAGCATGCGTAAACGTTGCTCTTGTTATGAACGCATACAGTTCTGCGCGAATGGGTTGTTTTTCCCAGTGTTTGCTCCCTCTCCTCTTCACTATCATTCGCTGAGTTATTACATTTTGCCACTCACCAGCTGCTTACTTCTGCTCGAAAGACTTGGGTGATGCATTCTATAGTCACTATATTTATAGTTTGGCGGATAGAATTCAATATATCGTAGACCAACAATTGAAAAGTTTCTAACAATGTTTATAAACAAAACGTTGATTATTCTTCTCTCGCCAATCGAACACAAATTACCGGCATCATCGGATAGGGGAAACTTTTCTCAACCCAAAGATGGTATGAGTTTGCGTATTTAGGTCTTAAGTCACGAGAAAAGGGTTTCCGAAATTTTGTTCGCAATAGCTGATGTGCTCTTTTCTGTTGTTGGTCGTGATTTGCTCGATTGGTTCCACTATTTGACAGCTCAATTGGTTCCCGAGATTCTATCCACCAGACAATGAATTTAGCGACTATAAAGCTGGGTTTATACAGGGCAAGTCAATTGATCATTTTGTCAAGCTTCTGCATTCATGTTCCATCAGATGTCACAGCTGTTGTTTGCGGTGACATCTATCGGAAACTAGGCACAATCTGTTTTCCTATAATTGTTCACAGAGGACACTACAGTGCAAACCATGTCTGGTACCTCTATATATGCATTTAGATTAAACAAAATAGCTCACCCCTCATAGAATTTCCCACCAAATTTTATGTATGGGGCGGGCATAAAGTATCTTTTGCGCAGAATATGTAAAAAAGGAAGGGACTTCAAATTTTAAAGCAAATGCATATATAGAGGTACCAGACATGTTTTGTAGTGTCAGGTACTCTATTTTGTAATCTTTGAAAGGGAAATCACAAATCGAGTGTCTACAAAATACATGGCATGTTGAGAGATTGAGGTCGTGAGAGTGAATTTCTCTCTCAAATTTGAATTTTTAGGCTCTCTGGGGACTGGCAGTAAAGCAGGTAAAATTGTATGGGGAAAAATCATTTTTGTTTAATTGTAGCTTGTTTAACAATAATTTCCGGGAAAAAAAACTGAACGATAAAGTCCCTGATTAATTTCTTCAGGTTGACGTTTACTTTTTTTCACCTTAATATGCACCGAAAGCGAATTATTCCCACTTCTCTCAATTTCTTTATGGGGATTTTTATCACTTGAATTAAAAAAAGTTGAACCAGGCTCAACTTTTCAAGCCAATTGAATTCAACTGAGTTGATCATTTGATTTGCCTAGTCTAAACCCAGCTTAATGCACTCGACAACAATTCGATGCGCAGCTGAATAATCAGGGTTAGTGATCACTCTTCTTCTCCAAACGCGTTCGAAATAACGAATCAAAGCAAGCATTCACGAGCAATGCGAACGATGTTTTGATGTGAGTCTCTGTGAGTGACCAGTGAGCGAGAAGTATTCCTGCTGTTCTTGCTGTCCTCCGTTCAGCCTCGCCCTATTCGCATCGTTAGTTACGAATTGATGCGATCGGCTACACGCAGGAAAAAGAACGCAAGAATTTCATAAGAAAAACTTATGAATTTTAGCCATAAGAAATGAGTGTGAATTTCATTGATTTTCCTTCTGAAAAATAATATTGACAAAAAATTATAAATCGTAGCAGACTAGATCCGGAAAATGACAGTTGAGGTTGACCACTCATCTTTCAACGTTTGAGAAAATGAAATGGTTAAAGGTGTATAAGAGCTACCTCATGTTCCCCGAAAATCATTCATAAGTCACACTTATGAATTTCATATATGTTGTTCATAAGTCGAGCCTTATGAAATTCTTATGTGTATTTGCCCCACTATACGAATGTAGTTGCGATGCGATGCAAAGCGATGCGACGAATATTCGCGATTATCCAATTGTCATCACCAATCCAATTTATTCAATTGTCATCATATTCCACCAACACCAAGTGCATGAAAAATAAATAGGGGAAATGGATGTAATGTCGGCCTAAATGCCCCTTATTAGGGCCCATACATAAATTCAGCAATCGACTAAATTTTCAATAGCAACCAAAAATATCCATTAGCACCGTCCCGATGACGCGTTCATCTAGATAAAATTGATAAATAGCAGATTTTTAGCGATGGGCCCAATCTTAGATCCATAGGCCAGCATTAGAGCCATTTCCTAGAAATACATTACCCAGAAATAAAATAGACGATAACGAAATCAAAGATTAATGAAATGATATTGGTATTTTAGAGCATTACGTAATAAATAAAGGGGGAACATTTTTAGTGTTACGTTTTGTTCCAAAGGGGTGGGAATCGAAAATATACCTACGTCTTTTTTTTTACACGGTTTTTTATACGGTTAGTGCCGCTGACTCGCGATTTACACGGTACGTTTTTAACGAGTTCTCGACATCGATTAAACCTATCGACTTGAATTTATCGATTTCAATCACATTATCCATTTCAAGCTATAGGTAATCGAATGGCATACTTTAAAAAGATCACAATAATGTTTGGAGTAAATACGGAAATTTTTTAAATTTGTCGATATGGACCATAGCATGCTTTAATTACGAATGGCATCAAAACCGATTTTTTTTTTAAATGTGAAAAATCAAAATCTCGATAGGTTTTTTTTTACACGGTACATATCCCCCGTGTAGAAAAAAGACCTTAGTGAATTGATTTTAGCGTAACGTAATTAATGGCCACCGTCTAATAATATTAACCAAAGCTCACGGCTCAAGTGCAGAAAACGGTTCCGTACCGAATAGGTCGAAACTGCACTGTAGGAGGAACGGGTGGTGAAGATGGATTACGAGGATCCGGCTTATAATCCCAGCTGTATTTGGACGGGAATTGGATTCGCAAATTGCATGGCACTCACGTGACACTCGTCTACGCATCAACCGACTATCGTTGACAGAACGTTTTGTCACTGGCAAAATGTTGCACTCGCTGCTGATAATGAAACGCACAACGAAAATAGCGAAGACTTCTGCTGTACGATGATGAGAAAAAGCAAAACGACAGAAGAAAATTAAAACAATGCCTGCGCATTCCAAGTTCGTCTCGACATGCGCGACTGTGTGAGCTACAAACAAAGCAGGCAACATCAAACGGAAGCTGTTGGGCTCACTCACCTAAGCAAGCAAATCAGTAACAGCTTCAAAACTAGCAAAGATGAGTGTCGTGATTGTCGGGAATGACCAGATCGGTGATGGATCACAACCGAAGGCGACATTCACCAGTTGCTTTTTACTTCTTTCGTCAGCTTGATGTATGGTCATGGATAGAGCTTCGACGAGCACATCGATATGAATGTACAAAGCGTTACTGCCATCAGCTGTTTGACGATCGTGATTGTGATAGGTCGCAACTCTGTTCGCAATATTCTCGCACAGGAACTCCATCAGCCGGTGAGTGTCTTCCTTCACCATTAGCACTTTCTTCTCCGAACCTTTGACCAGCAGCAGCGAAGAATACAACATGGGCCGAGTGGAAAAAATGGTCTGAATTCCTTTTTCACCTGCTTGCCGTAAGTGGGTTTGATTGGTGAAGTTTTTCCCGGAGTTAGAATAAGCAGTTCGAACGAAATCAACAGTTCCAACTTCCATGCTACACGCTATTTAAAAACTGCCCAAATTTGGGTTAAGTTTTGACCGATCTGGGTGAATTTTACCCAAATTTGGGAAGTTTTGAAATTGCGTGTACAACGTATAAACACCTGGGCTCTTATCCGTCGAAATCGATCGGTTTGAGTCCGGGAAATGGATGTGCGTTGCCGTCTTCTCCGTGATGCACTTGATGTTTTTGCCCCTGCGATCGATTATAGACGAGTGGTCCGTCATGATCAGCTGACATACGTGGTGTTTGTTGTGGAGATTTTTGAAAACTGACAGTGAGTATGACACAGTGCTTCGCGGTCGACCAGAAAACTTCGAGAAACTGTACGGCTTGCTTTACAACTTGTGTGCATGCAGAAGGGCTAAGTTGGGAATAGAAAGAATACACTCAAAAAATATTGAACGCTAAATAGTATAAAAGTTACACTAAGGCTGTGTTCCATTTGGAAATTTTTCACTTAAATTTGACACTTCGAAAATAAATTAAGATGTTCGAAAATCCCTCTGTTATTGATCGGCCGATTTTAGAGAAAGCGTCTGTCAAAGTTGATTCCTTGTCTGTCAGAAATAAGTCTGCTGGGATAGCAGGTTTATTTGAAAATTTTCCATCTGTCAAATTTAAGTGAAAATTCACCAAATGGAACACAGCCTAAATCGCAACGCTCCGTGCCGACGTAAAGGTCTGTATAAAGGGTGGGAATGCAAACTAAGTATAAACATGATTTATGCCTGCCATGTATACATACGGTTTA